AGACCCCACCTCCGCAGCCCCGCCCACGCTCCGCTCCACCCGCCGCGACCTGGGCTGTGTAGACCTGCTCCCTACCCGCCCGGCCGAAGCCAGGAGGCCTCCAGGGGGGTGACTCTCGGGCGTCGGCCCGGACGCGGTGGGCTCGGACCCCGGGACTCCGCGCTCTTTGTCGGGAGCGCGCGGCGCTGCTTACCTTCCTCCCGCCAGGGGACGCCGTGCACCAGGCAACCGGCGCTCCAGGACTCGGGGCTGGGGTCCGCCCATCCGGGGTTCCAGCTCCAGCTCCTTCAGCCCCTCCACGCCACCGCAAGGACACGCTCTTTCTAAGTAAATTCGGGGTGCTCGCCACGCCAACGCGGGCCGGCGACAGGTCGCTCCGGGCCTCCACCATCAGACCGCCGCCCTCGGCCCCTCCCCTAGCGAATCCCGGAGCCACCCGGCCACTCACTTCTCGTCTGCGGACCCAAGGCCCCGTCTCTAAAAATAAGTAAGGGGATGGCGTAGACTTTACGACCTCAAGGCCCCCTCCCTTAGCAGGCTGCGGTCCTTTGTGCTGTCCTTTTCGGTGTCAGCACTGCAGCGTTTCTCCCAGGTCTGTGCAGAGTACCCCAAGGGGGCGCTGCAGGACCCGCTCGCTCTTGTTTTGGGGGGCTCAGTGGCCCGTGCCTCCAGTTCTTTACTGTGCGTCCTGTTTAGCAAGTGCCTTCTGCACGCCCCTTTGGAACACAGGTGGGGAGCGGAAGCGCTAGACGGACTTCGGGAGCCTCCTTACTTTACCACCTGACCATGACAAATTGCCAGCCGCCTGTGTACCTGAGTCCGCACCGAGGGGTGTCCACTCTGTGCAAAGGCGGGAGGAGCTCAGAGAAGCTATTCAGTTGTCCAGGGTTGTCCATGCGGGAGAGATGGAGCTGGGATTAGAGCCCAAGCCCATGGCGCTCCAACCCGCAGACCCCTTCATGGCTTCTCTACTTTCATTTTCTCTTCCTCTAAGTCAGATGATTTCCTAACAGGCCTTAGGGAAGCGCTGTGTGTCCTAGCTCAGGTTTCGGCGCCCTCAGGCTTTGGGAACGTATTGGCAGAAATCACCTGGAGCGGATGAAGTCCAAGTGTTCCTAGTCACAGGACAAAGTTTATTCCAACATGTTTCCCTTCCTGCACTCACACCGAGGCCACTAAGGGATGGCAGCCGCCCATCTGCGGGAGAATCTCCCAGGAATGATGACTCCTGGGAAGGACTGAGTTTACCTTCTAGCCTCATCCTTTCTGTACATTTTGAGTCCTGGGTTCTGAGCGCAACACCTGACAGTTTTTTATCTAAACGTCTTGAAACTAAATGACCTCTTAGATGAGAGATCTTCACCAGGACTTGAAAAAAGGTGTAGGCTGTATAGTGTCCATTTCTGGCATGTAGAAGATATCCACTTAAAACTTGTTGAATTAAACATAAACGGGGCAGACAAGTGATTAAGAGTGCTGGACTCTCACATGGCCCATGGTGATTTGAGACCTGGACCTGGTGACTTGTTTTCTCACTCTCTCTCTCTCTGTTCCTCTCTGGTCAAATTTAAAGAAATAAATTAATTAAATAGTTCAGTAAAATATATTTTTAAAAAATTAAATAAAATAGGGACACTATACACCCTACACCCTTTTTTTGGGGGGGGGGCAAAAGGGCACATGTGCTCTCGGGAGAGAGAAAGAGAAAGTGACAAAGTACTCCCCAGGGAAATGCCACAACCCTTTTCCTCTCAGGATTTTGGGCACACACACACACATGCCCAGCGTGGGTGTTTTTTTTTTATTGTTGTTGGTTGGTTGGTTGGTTGGTTGGTTTTTAATCCCCCCAAGACTTCAACCACAGAGTCAGCTAAGTGGGATCCAGCTCCCTTAACCACCATGCCTCTGGCCGGTCCCCACACTTCCCTCATGTACGTTGAGATGAGGGACAAGGCATGGGACCGCCTCTGGTCCATTATCTCAGCTCACAAGCTCTGGCTACTGAGTGTCAGGCACTGCCTTCAGGGAACACCAGGATGATAAAATTGGGGGTCCCTGCATCCAAGTAGCTCTCTGACTATGGGGACAAGGAGAGCGAACTCAGCCCCTACATGTCTTTTGGTAATGACAGAGTCACCTGGTGCCATGGGATCACGGAGGAGGGTCCCCTGATTCAGTCTCAAAGAGGGACGGAGGTTTCGTGGAAAGAGAAAAGGCCAAGTGGATTGTGATGCAGGCACGGCTTAGCCAGAGCAGCAGGGCTGGGGGTGAAGGTGTTCCAAGAACCAGGAGCAGCCTGGGCAAAGGGGAGGGCGAGTGTCTATACAGAAACTGAAAGCGGCTCCACAGTGTGGAGCCCGTCTTGGTCCCGGCTCCTTGGTTCTCCTTCCCTTCTACAGAAACCCCACGTCCTGAAGTGAATCCACAAGCATGAATTAAATCCTAGCCTCCCCTCCCTGGGATGGGCCCTTGGCCCCCACCCCATGAGGAGGCCCGTGTGTGTGGCCTTCACATCCTTTCTCAATGCAGAACTTTGTGTACGCTGAGTAGACCTGGGTGCTAGTTCCACGTGTGCCCACGTGCAGCATGGCTATGGGTGGGCTGTGGAAACCCCCACCTGCTTCCCAGGGTTGTCATGAGACTAAGGTCACAGAAGCGGAGAAATTTGAAAATTATAAGTCCAAAATACAAGTGACCAAGGTTGAAATCTGAGCTGCACTATTTTTTGGCTAAATACCCTTGGGCAAATTACTTGACCTGCCTGTGCCACCGTTTCCTCATCTGTAAAAATGGGGCCATTAATAATAGATGCGAGGTCTCTTGCTCTCTCTCTTCCTTTCTTTTTCTTTCTCTCTCTCTGTGCGACATGGTGTCTCGTTTTCTTTCTCTCTCTCTCTCTCTCTCCTCTCTCTCTCTCTCATTCTGTCTCTCTCTGGCCAAATTAAAAGAAAGTTAAGATAATTTTTTTAAAAGAACAATAGATGTGAGGAACAATGTGTTCATATTTGGCGTTTTTTTAGTGGAATTGTTTATTTAATTTTATTTACTATTATTATTTTTTTTTAATTTGCTATAGGGTACATATACTCACCAGAGAGAGAAAAGAGAGGGGGAAGTGCAAAAGTAAGCTGCCAGGTCCAGGTCTAGAGCCAGTCAGTCATGTGGGAGCCCAATGCCTTAACCATCAAGCCACCTGCAGCCCGATGTGTTCATACTTGTAAGGAACTTACTTTGGACCCAGCCGCTGTGGCACAGCAGTAACCCAGCACCCTGCAAGGCTGGAAGCCCCATGCTGACGGCAGGTTCAGATTTCTGGGCTGGCCTGAAGACCTGCCCAGTGCATGCATGGACCCCAGTATCCTGAGGAGCTAAAGCGCTGGGGAAAAGGAATTGCAGCCTGATGAGACAGTCTCCAACATGCTTCTCTCTCTCCCATATGCACACATGTGTTGTCATAAAAAGAAGAGAAAAAGGAAAAGAGAGAAGTTAATGTACAGGCCCAGCCGCCCTGATGCAAGCGGTAAGGCAGCACTGCCTATGGCTGGGTGTCATGCAAAGTCTGGGTTAGATCCTAGCCCCAGAGGCTGGGAGTGGTGGCATGTGCTTGTGATCTGAGCTAACTGGGAGGCTCTAGCAGAACTGATCTGACTAGACCCCATCCAAGATACCTTTTACTTTCTCGCTCTTTCTTCCTCTCGCTGTTTCCCTCTCATTTAAAAAATTTTTTAAAAGGGGGGAGGTTAAGTTAAGGTGCTGGACTCCCAAATTGCCCAACATGGTTTAAGTTTTGAAACCCGGCGGCTTGAAACTCATGCTGAGTGTGTGTCATGTGCCCATAATCCCAAGAGAATAGAGTAGAAGGGATTGCAGTGTAGCCATCATCCTCAGAGGGTGATTTGCACATGTCCTATAGCCAAAAAAAAATCTCTAAAAAGAGGAAAAAATAAATTTAAAGGGAGGCCAGCAGATGGCATAGTGGTTAAGGCTCTGGACTCACACATGGCTGACTGTGGTTCAAGTCCCAGACCCGGCAGCTTGAAACTCACACTGGGCACATCTGTGTGCATGCTCAAAATCCCAGGAGGTGAATGAAGGAGAAGGGATTACAGCATGGCCATAACCCCTGGGGGTGATTTTTCACTTTCTGTCTCTGACTCTATGTCTTTCTGACATGCGCATGTGCCCTATAGCAAAAAAAAAAAAAAACTCTCTCTAAAAAAAAGAGGGCAGCAGAGGACATAATGGTTACATCGTTGGACTCCCACATAGTCGACCTCAGTTCAAGTCCTGGACCCAGTAGCTTAAAACTCACGCTGGGTACTTTTGCATGTGTGCCCAAAATCCTGAGAAGAAAAGGAAGGAGAAGGGATTGTGGTGTGGCCACCCCCCATGAAAGTAATTTCTCACTTTTCCTCTTTCTTTCTCTCTTTCTGTCTCTCTCTGGCAAGTGCACATGCCCTATCTCAAGAACCTTACTTAAAAAAAAAAAAAAAGGCTGGAGGGCTAGCAGGTGCCATAGTGGTTAAGGTGCTGGACTCCTACATGACCAACCATGGTTGGAGGCCCAGACCTGTC